GGAGGGGCGGGGTCTCCGCCCGCGATTTCGCCAGCCCGAGAGCTAAATCCACCCCGAGGGAGGTAGGCTTAATCCCGTCGGTCATGCTGCTCATTGGAGGAGGACAGCGCCCCTTAGAGGATGGATATGGTACGTCCACTTCTTAGCTGATTGGCGTTCAACCAACCGATTTCTTTTTTGAAAAATTTTTAAGTTTTAAAATTTTTATGGGTAAATAATAGTTGCATAATTGTATGGGGTGCGTATGATGTTTTGATACAGGCATGCAATGTATGATTATCAAATCAGGACAACTGAGGTATCCATCATCTCAAGCATGTATCGTTTCTTTGTTAGGAACATTCCAACTCCACTCTTTTTGTTATTTTAACCTATACAATAAATTATTAACTATAGTCACTCTATTATGCTATCAAATACTAAATCTTACTTTTTCGTTATTCATTTATTTTTAAATTGTGGGGTACAATTCAGGATTAGGTATACAAATGGTCATTGTGTATGTAAAGTTTGGGCCTCACTTTGGTCCCCACTTGACCTAGTTGGAGATCAGGTACCCTTACTGACGAGGTGTGCCCCACTCCCTCCCCTGGCAGTTTCCCACTACTACCAATCCTTTTCTTATGAATTTAAGAGTCTATAATACTGCCGGGCTCGGTGGCTCAGCCTGTAATCCCAGCACTTTGGGAGGCCGAGGTGAGTGGATTGCCTGAGCCCGCAGGTTCGAGACCCGCCTGGGAAACTTGGCGAGACCTCATCTCTACAATAAATCAAAAATTAGCTGGGCATGGTAGCGCGCGCCTGTAGTTCCAGCTACTTGGAAGGCTGAGGCGGAAGGATCGCCGGAGCCCAGCAGGTAGAGGCTGCGGTGGCCAGGAGTGGCCACTGCACTCCAGTCTGGGTGACAGAGTGAGACTCCAACACACACACAAAAAAAAGAGTCTATAATACTGAGTGATCTATCACAGAAACAGGGAACCTGTACCACATGTTCTCACTCATAAGCGGACCCTGAACAAACCAATTTCTCGTGAGTACATCCCACTACCAAACACACGTGGAATAAGTACTTAGGTAATAATCATTGTTCCCGAGTTGCTCACAGTCTGGGAAAGGTCTTGTTGGAGAACAGTATTTTCTGTAAGGGATTAATGCAGTCCTCAATAAGCACAATTTGAAAATTTAACTTGTGGTCTGACTGCATATAAAACAATATAGCCAGAGTATATAGAAGACAGGACCTGGAGTAAACCTCAAATTCAAGTTTTGAGTGACCTCTATGAGCCTCAGTTTCTTACCAACCTCATAGTTGTGAAGGCTCTACAAATTATTTAGGTAAGAGCTCAGAAAATTTGGATAAAAGTTCCCAACAAGCCGGGCTCGGTGGCTCAGCCTGTAATCCCGCGCCTTTGGGAGGCTGAGGTGAGTGGATTGCCCAAGCCCGTGGATTCGAGACCCACCTGGGCAACTTGGTGAGACCTCATCTCTACAATAAATGAGAAATCAGCTGGGCGTGGTAGCACACACCTGTAGTTCCAGCTATTTGGAAGGCTGAGGCTGAAGGATCGCCGGAGCCCAGCAGGTC